CTTTTGCAGATCAATTCTCTGGAGTATATTCTGGTGTCTCTGCTTATAACATGGTTGATGTACACTCTACGTATCCTCCAGTATTTGTTGCCGATGTCACTGAAGAAGAGGTTCTTCATTTCCTAAAAAGGTTACCTAATAAATTTACTGCTGGTGATGATGATCTTCCTGCATTTTTCATTCGTGATTGCTGTGCAGTTTTTGCAGTTCCGCTTCATTTAATAATAATTAACCTATCCTTAAGCACTTGCTCGTTTCCTAAACTTTGGAAGCGCTCACGCATTGTTCCTGTATTCAAGCATGGCGAACGTACCAACATTACTGATTATCGACCAATATCGTTATTGTCCAATTTCGCTAAGGTATTTGAACAGATTATTTACAGGATGATTTATCCACAGGTTCAGTCATTTGTGTCACCATATCAACATGGGTTTATCAAGCGTCGTTCGACCATTACCAACCTCGCGGTGGTTACTGAGGTAATTTGTGAATCTTTGGATAGGGGCGGTCAGGTAGATTTTTCTAAAGCATTCGACATGATTCATCGTGACGTCCTCTTGTATAAACTTAGTGCTTTTGGCTTATCTCCTAAGTTTATGAAACTATTTGCCTCTTACTTATCGGGTCGTATAAATAACACAGTGCAACAGCAATTCTGGGGGGTGAAAAATTTTAAGTCAGGGTGAAAGTACTAGGTCAATATAGTAAAACCTGCAAAGGGTTTGGCGTTCTCAGCCCAAACTTTTTTTTTAACGCCTTTTATATTTCTTTCATTATTGATGTTTGTTTGCTTAGTTTTTCTGTTATAACTCAAGAATCATTGATGATTTCTCATTTCCTTCTTCAGCAAAGACTAAGGCTTAGCTAAGGCTTAAATAAATAATTTTCATTAATATATCCATGTAAAAAATTAAGTTGGACTAATTTTATAGACTGAAATTTTCAAAAAATTGTCAAATTTCGAAAAAAAAAATCCCTTTGAAAAATAACATCTTTACTCCAGAGTTCTACGAATTGTAACTATAAAAGAGTATTCTAATATAAGTATATAGTAATATAGTGGTACTATATTAGAGAGAGAGAACAATATTTATTTGGAATATAAAAATAATAACAACATATATAAAACAAATATAAGATACGTCCAAAAGGGCTATAGACCTGAGTCTTCCTGCCCGAAGAGCATTGATTTGATGAAAATTAACAAAAATTAAGGACAAACAAAGTTTATACATATGTTCATAAACATTGCTTTAGAGTCTTTTCGATGGTGATTGCTCGGGACTGGTGTCATCGCTATCGCAATCATCGCTGTCATCAGTTTCTAAGCTTTTTTTTTCTTTTCTGACCCTACTGCAACTTCTGAAAATTCTTCATCATCAGGATAATCCATGTCTTCGAAAACATGTCTACCCCACCAGCTCAGCGACTGTTTTCCTCTGTATCTGTGATTTGTTTTTTTATTAAAATCAGTTTGAAAAAAAATCTCATAGATATTACCTAATTTTAAATGGCATAGCAACTTGATGATAGCCTTGTTCATCAGATTCAGTGGCCAATTTTCTGCTGAAGTAGTGCAGCTGATGTAAATAGTGAATTTTCAATGTGGACGCCAATTTTCGAGAACAATGTTAACATCCGACAGAAACATCGTAGTTGCTAGAACGATGCTTTCCCAACAAGCCTTCTATTACTTCTTTAATTGCATTCCAATTCAATTCAGCGTCAATCAAAATATTGTTGAATGCGTCACTTCTAATAAGCTTTCGTATATCTGGACCATTTAGTACGCCTAATGGAAAAAATCAATTTATTGCGATAGAAAATCATGAGAAATATGTTTGAAAAAATATGAGTCTCGGTAAATTAATTTCAAACACAAGAAAACTGTATCTCGTTTGGCGACAGTTTTGATGAAACAATTCCAGTTTCTTAATAATTCCAAGTTCAATGTGCAATGGAGGCAGCAATATCTTCTCTTTCGGCATCAGAGGTTTACGAATAATATTGGCCATTTCTAACCTGTTGTGGTTTCTATGATTCCATTCGTGGCATCCGGTAAACCTTGTGTCCCAATCGCACAAAAAGCACATATATTTTATATAGCCGCTTCGAAGGCCGCAAAGCAATGCTACAACTTTTAAATCGTAGCATATGCGCCAAATATGTTTAGCGTAGTTAACCATTTTTAAAATATGTTCTAGTGCATCATATGTTTCTTTCGTTTCTGTACTATACGCGATTGGAACTGAAGGTTTTTCATTGGTCTTATGCAGCAAAACCGCTTTCAAGCTGAATTTTGAACAGTCATCTGCTTCATGTTTTATTTCCATTGCGTCCATCAATTTTCCTACATCCGAGCAATATGCAGAGTTTTTTCATTATTCACAACAAATAAACTTTGGAGTGTCGCCTGACGACTTCGATAACCTGTGACTTTCATACCGGGTGCCAAAAGATTGTTTGATTTCAAAAACGAAACCAGCTGTTCTGATTTATGCTGTATCAATTCCAATTTAGCAATAATGGAATCAAGCTGATGTTGATTTATTAAATTAGGCTGATTGGATACAGATGGCTTGGGATCATATGGGGGATCATCACTTGAATCATATGTTGCTGCAAAAGTCGGAGCAGTCACAGAGAATAGAATATCTGGGCTGAAACATTTTGGCACATGAATGTAGCCCGAATGAAGCAATGGTCTTTGGCCACTTGCAACACCAACGTAATTATACGATTTTCTTACAGTTTTTCTTAATGCGGCTTCTTTATTCGCACATGCTTATCAATTCAATGGATTGTGACCGTCGCCAGGATTAGTCCAAATCATTGGAACACCGAATGGCATAGATTCACGTCTTCCATTTTTCCAATCCATTAGACAATTGTAACAACTTTTACACACTATATTTGGCACCCAATTTTTTGGGTTTTTTTTTGTGCAGTAGATATGTGTTCGAAGACATGGATTATCCTGATGATACAGAATTTTCAGAAGTTGCAGTACCCAGCCTCGAACAATCACCATCAAAAAGACCTAGACTCTAGAGCAATGTTTATGAACATATAAACTTTGTTTGTCCTTAATTTTTGTTAATTTTCATCAAATCAATACTCTTCGGGCAGGAAGACTCAGGTCTATACCCTTTTGGACTTATCTTATATGTGTTTTATAGATTTTTTTTTTTTCAAAATTTGACAATTTTTTCAAGATTTCAGTCGATTAAATTAGTCCAACTAAATTTTTTACATGGATATATTAATGAAAATTATTTATTTAAGCATTAGCTAAGTCTTAGTCTTTGCTGAAGAAGGAAATGAGAAATCATCAATCATCAAACATCAAGATAATAAGGAAAGAGATATAAAAGATCATAAAAAAAAAGTTTGGGCTGAGAACGCCAAACCCTTTGGAGGTTTTACTATACTGGCCAAGTACTTTCATCCTGACTTGGAATTTCTCACCCCCCAGACAATAACCCCGAAAATGTTCCACAGTGTTATGTGTACTACAACGGTTATGCGTCTATGGAGTTTACGGCTAGGTCTGGTGTTCCTCAGGGCTCAAATCTAGGTCCCCTACTATTTGTTATCTTCTTGAATGACCTTCTAGACAAATTTTCATCAAGCGTACTAGCTTATGCAGATGATCTGAAACTATTCCGACCTATTTTTGCGGACCGTGATGTCAGTGTTCAGTCGGATTTGGACGTCTTGGTGGAATGGTGTAACCGTTATCAGCTAAAGATTAATGCCAATAAGTGCGGTGCGGTTAGTTTTACACGCAAGCTATCTCCTCTTCCATCTTCTTATTATATAGAAGGTGTTCTTCTTGAGAAACTATCTACAATCAAGGATCTGGGGGTAACTTTTGACCGCAAATTGTCTTTTGTACCTCACAACGAAAATATTGCATCTTCTGCAGCGAGGATGCTTGGTTTCGTTTTGCTTTTTCTGATATCGACCCTATTTTCGACCTTTATATTGTCCAAATTGGAATATGGCTCTGTAATTTGGTCGCCACATTATGTGTGTCATAGACTTATGTTGGAGAGAATTCAGAGGAGATTTCTCAAATATTTGTCTCTACGCCTGGACGGATCATACCCGGATCGTGGAATGGATTACGCATCCCTGCTGCGGCGTCACAACTTTTCTGCACTAGACGTAAGAAGAGATGACCAGCGCATCAAGTTTTTGCAGAAGTTAGTGCACGGTGAATTGGATTGTGGTTGGTTGTTGTCGCGGATCATTTTCGCGGTGCCTACGCGTACAACACGTAGTACAAATCAGTTTTATTTGAGGAATTGCAGATCCAATGTTTTAGCCAACTCCCCGGTGCAGAGGATGTGTAAACTAACTAACAATCAATAATAGTGTAAGAGTGTTTATGTGANTTATTTATGGATTTAGCCAAACTTTCAACTTGCTATATCTCAAAACAACAAACATGATGCTTGGCACTTTTTTCTCCCGACCCCTTCAATTGTAATATAGGCAACTTGCAAACACATATTCTAACCTCAAACAAGAATGAAAAACACGTGCACACATATTCCTATCAAACTAACTTTGAACTTAACAGCAAATACCCTACAAGTAAAAAATACAAGTTCTTGTGAATTGAAGAAAAATTTTTAACATGTTAACTAATGCAAGAGATTTTTTAAAAATAAACTGACGTAAGTCTTTAGCTTTGTAACATATAATATGATTTACATAGTTTACCAATTCAATACATAAAACATTTTTAATTTGTAATAGATTTTCTAGCAAAATTGTGTAAAACAATCTGTATCTTTTTATAATAGGTAATTCGAGGGTCCTGAGGATGGTTCTACTATTGAACCGAAACCGGTAGAATTAAAAACAAATAATCCATTTTTTAATAAAAGTACAAACAGAAGACACTGTTATTTTATTTATTTTTTGTTGGTTGAATATTTATCTTTTCAGTTCGAGAAATAAATTTTCCGAGGTCGGACAATACAACACCACTTCTAAGGTTTCTTTAGTGGTAAGGGAAAACGATAAAACCGACCGTTACTTGCAATCTCTTAAAAGCGCCTTGAAATGTACGAAATGTGTTTGTATCTATTTCTACTTTAAGAAAATTTATTATTATTATTTTACCTACCTGTATTGGCAAGTCATTCCGTATCCAAAATCTCTCCAAAATCCGGTATCTCTGCTAATTACTAATTGTTCCGTTTCGGATGGAACTTCTCGTCCTTGAAGTGTATACACAACGTGCGGATTATACAAACTAAAAACGACGGGATAATAAACTTTCTTTCCCACTTGAGTGTTCCATCGACACCTTTCTAAAAATCGCGCACTAAAAACTATGTCTACATCGCACATAAATAACAACACATCTTTCTTATCGTTTTGGCTATGTACACCATCTGAATCCCAAGCCCTCTCCGCACCAACCCTTAGTCCTTTTCCTCTAGAAAAAGTCTCGTTTAAAGCTAAAAGCCTTAAATTTTTCGCGACACCATTGTACTTAGTTCTTACCGCACGTGACATTATATCTCTCGCTTCTGAAAGTCCTTCTTCGCCAAAATACACTACGGTTAAATGAACTTTTTTATCGGTTTTTAAACCAATTTTAACAAATTTTTCCATAAAACTTTGAAACGTTGATGTTCGTCCGGATAAAGGTAAAATAATATGGATCAATTCTTTTTGTTTAGGCTTATATAATTGTTCAACACTTAATGGTTGTAATGGAGCGAAAGGCCGCATTAAAATCAATTTCGTGTAACCGTTAAAATGATTCGGTTCTTTCATTTTCGACCTAAAATACAACTCGTACTGGGTCCCCGTCGTCGGTTCTAATCGATAAATCCCTTCTAAGAAATCATCCAAAGTAAATTTAACACTCGCCCTGTTTTCCTTCTTGATTTCTTGAGTATGATTTTTATTTAACGTGTCAACGGCTTTCTGTAAAACTTCTAAAAGATCTTTTCGTTTGAACCCAATCGGTTTCTCAACGACCCTTTTTCCTAAACCCAATTCAATCGGATACACTCTGCTGATGGTAAAATGACTAAACGGGACCATTTCAAATTCGTTATTAAACGGCAAACCTCGCAATATCTCCGCCGAAACAATTTGTTTTCTTATAAAATGTATACATTCATTATTTGATGATGACGATGATGATGATAAGGGAAGCATTGTTGTATTGAAATGTATATTTAAAACTGACGTTTCTGCTTGAGTTTGACCATAATTATCTGCAACAAAAAAATTTTTCAATTGAAAAATGATGGTTCAAGAAGGCGCAGAGATTTTCTTTTTTCAAACGCGCACCCCAAGGCGTACAGACCAATTAGCCTAACTTCATTTCTCCTCAAAGGGATGGAAAAGGTAATCGATCAATACCTAAGGAATGGAGTGCTTGTCACAAATCCACTCCACCCTAGCCAACATGCTTACCAGAAAGCAAAATCAACAATTACCGCTCTCCATGCTTTGACTAGCACCTTAGAGGAGGCAATTGCAACCAAAGAGATAGCCCTTTGTGCTTTCATAGATATAGAGGGTGCGTTTGATAACACCTCATATGAATCCATAGAGAAGGCTCTAAACGTAAAAGACATACATCCGTCGACAATCAAGTGGTGTATAGCCATGTTGAAAAGTCGGCAGATCACAGCCAGTCTGGGAGGCGAGTCGCTGACTATAAAGGCGCTAAGAGGATGTCCCCAAGGGGGAGTGCTATCACCTCTATTATGGTGCCTGGTAGTTGATGACTTGATGAACACCCTAACTAAAAACGGATTTAAGATACAAGGGTATGCTGATGACCTGGTAATCACAATCCGAGGTAAATATGATTCAATCATAACTCAGCTAATGCAGAAAGCCCTACTACTCACCAGTACTTGGTGCAGAAGCAATGGGCTCAGCATCAATCCCAATAAAATCGAAATAGTCCCTTNCAAAAGTTGTAGCAAATTTTATTGTTAACAATATTGCTCTGTATCATTTTTGCTCTCAGATGCGTCAATATCGAGAAATATACGAAAATATGAAAATTTGATGATTTTCGTTGTTTTATTAGTAATGATAGGTAACACTCGGGAATTGGAGTATGTTACAAAAAAACTTTTAGAACAAAAGTTGTAGCAAATTTTATTCTTAACAATACTGCTCTCTAGTACTTTTGCTCTTAGATACGTCAATATTGAGAAAAATACAAAAATGCGAAAATTTGATGAATTTGTTACTTTTTCTTGTTAGTGGTCACACTCGGGAAACAAAGCACGATACAAAAACACTTTTAGAACAAAAGTTGTAGCAAATTTTATCTTTAACAATATTCCTCTCTTGCACTTTTGCTCTTAAATGCGTAAATATCGAGAAAAATACATAAATGTGAAAATTTGATGAATTTGTTGCTTTTTCAAGTTATTAATGGCATAATGATAACACTCGAGAAATAGAGCACGTTACAAAAAAACTTTTAGAACAAAAGTTGTAGCAAATTTTATTCTTAACAATATTGCTCTCTTGCACTTTTGCTCTTAGATGCATAGATATCGAGATAAACACGAAAATATGCAAATTTGATGAGTTTCGTTGTTTTACTAGATGTTATGGTAATACTTGGGAATTGGAGCACCTTACAAAAAATCTTTTAGAACAATAGTTGTAGCAAATTTTATTCTTAACAATATTGTTCTCTTGCACTTTTGCTCTCAGATGCATTATTGTATTGAAATGTATATTTAAAACTGACGTTTCTGCTTGAGTTTGACCATAATTATCTGCAACAAAAAAATTTTTCAATTGAAAAATGATGGTCCAAGAAGACGCAGAGAAATGAATAGAAAATCTTATCGCTTAATGCTAAGAGAGATTTTCTTTTTTTAAACGCGGACCCCAAGGCGTACAGACTAACTTCATTTCTCCTCAAAGGGATGGAAAAGGTAATCGATCAATACCTAAGGAATGGAGTGCTTGTCACAAATCCACTCCACCCTAGCCAACATGCTTACCAGAAAGCAAAATCAACAATTACCGTTCTCCATGCTTTGACTAGCACCTTAGAGGAGGCAATTGCAACAAAAGAGGTAGCCCTTTGTGCTTTCATAGATATAGAGGGTGCGTTTGATAACACCTCATATGAATCCATAGAGAAGGCTCTAATCGTAAAAGACATACATCCGTCGATAATCAAGTGGTGTATAGCCATGTTGAAAAGTCGGCAGATCACAGCCAGTCTGGGAGGCGAGTCGCTGACTATAAAGGTGCCTGGTAGTTGATGACTTGATGAACACCCTAACTAAAAACGGATTTAAGATACAAGGGTATGCTGATGACCTGGTAATCACAATCCGAGGTAAATATGATTCAATCATAACTCAGCTAATGCAGAAAGCCCTACTACTCACCAGTACTTGGTGCAGAAGCAATGGGCTTAGCATCAATCCCAATAAAATCGAAATAGTCCCTTTCACTCGGAGAAGGAAGCTACAAATAAAAGCACCCTCCATTGAAAGCAGAACTATTAACCTCAAAACAGAAACTAAATACCTAGGGGTAATACTTGACAGTAAACTAAACTCACACTCACACTTAGATAAGGTGAGGAAAAAGGCCATCATGGCAAACCAGATCTGCCGCAGGCTCCTAGGAAGGAACTGGGGTCTCAAACCACGAATGGCTCATTGGGCCTACGTAGCAATAATCAGACCCATGGTCGCCTACGCCTCATTGGTTTGGTGGCCAAAAACAAAACATAAGACAGCTCAATAACAGCTGGCACAAATCCAGTCTTAACATAACGGGTGCAATGAGATCCTGTCCGACGGCTGCTTTGGAAGCCCTACTCGGTCTCACACCGCTCCACATATATATACAAAAGGAGGCAGCCTTAAGTGCCTTATCAGTGAAAATAGTTTCTTCACTCAAGTTGATGCAGGGTAACCTCAGAGGACACCTCGAGATCCTCAAGGACCCATGTCTAAAATTAAAACGGACCTCATACCGACGGAATACAATTTCAACCAACCGTACAAGGTCATATTTAGTAGCAGGGATGATTGGGCCTCAACTAAAAAGAGGAGCCCTAGCCTGGTACACCGATACTTCAAAGGCAGTAAGATCTGGAGTAGGCATGGGCATCAATGGACCAAATAGCCACATCAAATTGCCCCTCAGCTCGGACTTAACAATTTTCCAAGCAGAAGTTCTTGCTATAAACTTCTGCACCGCTTTGAACCTACAGAAGGGACAAAAAGGTGCATCCATAAACATTTTCACAGACAGTCGGGCCGCCTTAAAGGCAATTCAGGCCTACACGTGTGGCTCCGCACTGATCAGAGAGTGCACCAACAACCTGAGAGAACTCGCTAGGGGCAATGATGTTACCCTATGGTGGGTTCCAGGTCACAGCAACATTGAGGGCAATGAGAAGGCCGACAAGCTGGCCAAAGAGGCAGCAAACACGCCCTTCATTGGACCCCAACCTGGATGTGGACTACAAAAAAGCCACCTAAAACAAATAATCAACAACTGGGAGGCTTCAAAGATAGCCTTACGCTGGAAAGAACTTCCAGGTCACAGACAAGCGAAGAGTATGATAACTCCGTCGCAAAACAAAACCAAAGAGGTTTTATGCCTCAGCAAAGGGGATCTAAGAACGCTCTCAGGCNAAATGTTAGTGAGAAGTGAGGATTCCGGACTTGCGGTGATGGAAATGCTGAGGGAAATCATGAAGATCAAGGAGAGGGATGAATACAAATGGGAGGCAACACGAGAGGGGGGACACAATCCCCCCTCATCCGGGTAGGTACAGAATTAATAGTATTTCAAAAAGTAACATTTTGTATGTACTGGAGAACAACCTGACAAGAAGGAGGAAGGAGGGAAAGCGTCATCCGGGAGATAGACCGGAGAGAGAGAGGAAGGAGGAACAAGAGAGTAGAGAGGAATAGAGAGAGAGGTGTTCCCATTTCCGGGAGGAAGAGGGGGAGCATCCCCCCATCCGGGTAAGAATAAAAACTTTAACATTTCAAAAAGTAAGATCATTTATGTCTCCCAACGGACGATGAGAGACCAGGGAAGAAGTGGAAGGGAGAAGAAGAGGAAGTTTGAACGGGGGAGTAGTAAATGCAGAAGCGTGCTTCCATTTCCGGGAGGAAGAAGGGGAGCAATCCCCTCCAACCGGGTAAGAGTAAAAACTTTAATATTTCAAAAAGTAAGATCTTTTATGTTTCCCAACGGACGATGAGAGACCAGGGAAGAGGTGGAAGGAAGAGGAAGAAGAAGGAGTTTGAGTGGAGGAGTAGGAGGTGGAGAGACGTGTTTCCATTTCCGGGAGGAAGAAGGGGAGCAATCCCCTCCATCCGGGTAAGAGTAAAATTTTTAACTTTTCAAAAAGTAAGACCTCTTATGTGTCCAAACGGGGGGAGAGAAATCGTGGAAGAAGCGGAAGGAAGTATTGACTGATTGACCAGTCGAGGAGATAGAGGAAGAAAAGGGGGGAGATGAAGGGATCTTCAACGAGAGGAAGAATTCTGATGCTTTAAGAAAGGTATGAGGGAGATAAAGAGATAGAGAGGAAAAGGAGTAAAAAGAGAGGAAGGAATCTTATTTCGAACCTGGGAAGAAGAATTCCAATATAAAGCCCGAAGAAATGCCCGAGAGGGCGGTTCCGGGCAGAGGAAAGGGGTTTTTAGTGGGTCGGAGTCTCACAGATGAGCTCCAACCCCACACTATCCGGCCGTCCGAGACCGTTAGGCCGGATGTCTGATAACAGCTTAACTTTGCTTGGTTTAAATTGAATTGGCTCCTGTTGGTTTAGGTTGGATTGGGTTATGTTGCAGGTGAAGATAAATTTCCTGAACCATTATCTGCACAACAAAATTTGGCTGAGAAGGCACACCAAGCTTGAAACTCCAAAACTCCTGCTTGAAGAAGGAAAATAGCTTATTACCTTACCTTTCATGACTATTTCTTTGATAATAAAAAATTAACGTATCTTAACTAACCAAAAAATAAAGAGTTGGTTTCCGTAGCAGTTTGGTTAATTAAAACGACATCCTTTGTTAAGCAAAAGCAAGGTTGGTTAGACGGTGCATCGACACGGACGCGTGCTGTTCTAAAACTAATTAGAGAGCCGCTGGCAAGTAAGTAGTTCGGTCGACAATTAGCGACACCGCGCCGGTATACGAAATAGCGTTTCAGTCGTCGTTTTCGCGACCCTCCTCGACCGAGACCGTAAAAACGGACGACTAACAATTAGGGAGTAGTTTGCTTTTGTTGGGGGCTTGGCTAATTTACCCGACGAAATAATAAGTTGCAACTCTCGCGCAATTACGTTGGCTAAACTACTTTTTGGATGGCTTAGTGAAGGAAAAAACAACCAATTAGAAACAGACATACTGCTTTAATTCGTTGTTGTTTTGGCGAAAGAACTGTGTTTAATCGTCTACTAACGAAGTTTTAGTTTGTTGTTGACAATTAAGTTTTGTGGGTTATTTGGTATGGAATAGATTCGAACAAATTCATCGACATCTACTCGGTGTGGAAGCCGTAATTCACCTGTCGTCTCTAACAGGATTTTCTACCTTGGGGTTTCTACTTAGGTACGGGTAGTAATTTTTCCAAATGTTTCCCGCAGCTTACCGGGGTTGACTTATTTATCACTAGGTTAGAAAAATTCGACGTCAAAGCACAAGAACGTACCTTAATAACATTACTTTGTGTTTACTTTAAAATCACATATTCATATCTAGTTCACTGTGTTAATTAATTATCGTACCCGACGTCTTCATTGCAAGTATGCAACCAATATCACAGTATTGGTATTGCAATACGCGATTTGCGTATTTGGTTGCATACTTGCAATGATGATGACTGGTACGATAATTAATTCGACCGCGTTATACATCACTTGATTAAGTGACATTTTATCGTTTTTGGAGATTTTCATGGTCTCTGGTAGGTAAAGACCTAAAATACTATTTGTTTTAAACGATAAAGCTAAACGTCAATTTGTATCATTTGTCTAAGAACCGAATTAGATACACTAAGAAATTTTACAATAGAAAAAATAGATGAACCTACAATTTTAGGCCAGTGTCGTTTTGTAGATGTTAGTGTAAAATTAAAAGTTTATGTCTTTTATTTTATATAGAATTTCAATTTCGGACCTTGGCCATCTTCAGAGACTCTACAAATAGATTAACATCTCTCATCTTATCCATTTTACAACCGACAGATATGATAATGTATAACATAAAACAACATGCAAAGCAACATAACATATCACTATGTTGCATATTTTTATTCCATTAAAACTAGAACTATCACTAGAACTAACACCAGTTTAGCCGTCTTGAGAGACATGGGACTAAATCCGAATATGTCTAGTTCTCAGTCTAGTGTTAGTTCTAGTGGCAGTGGTAGGGCTAGTTAGCATAAGATATTACAATGTTGTATATTTTTATTGAACTAAAACTAGAATGACAACTAAAAACATTCGGGTTTAGTCGTGAAAAGAACTTTCAGTTGTAAATGTCAACTTTAATTTTATTATTATATTCGTATTCTTCATAAAATAACCTTTAAAGTGAGTCCAAACTTGACGCATTTATCTCAAAAAACCAAAAAGTTCGAACTTTCAACTTTTAATTTTGACATATTTGTCAACTTCATAAAAAATCCTTTAAAATGAGTCCAAACTCGACATATTTAACTTTAATATTAATGGAAATACAATCACTTCCGGTTTGAAACGTCAACGTCAATTTTGACATATTTGTCATCTTCATTAAAAAACCTTTAAAATGAGTCCAAAGATGACGCATTTATCTCAAAAAACCAAAAAGTTCGAACTTTCAACTTTTAATTTTGACATATTTGTCAACTTCATAAAAAATCCTTTAAAATGAGTCCAAACTCGACATATTTAACTTTAATATTAATGGAAATACAATCACTTCCGGTTTGAAACGTCAACGTCAATTTTGACATATTTGTCATCTTCATTAAAAAACCTTTAAAATGAGTCCAAACATGACGCATTTATCTCAAAAAACCAAAAAGTTCGAACTTTCAACTTTTAATTTTGACATATTTGTCAACTTCATAAAAAATCCTTTAAAATGAGTCCAAACTCGACATATTTAACTTTAATATTAATGGAAATACAATCACTTCCGGTTTGAAACGTCAACGTCAATTTTGACATATTTGTCATCTTCATTAAAAAACCTTTAAAATGAGTCCAAACATGACGCACTTATCTCAAAAAACAAAAAAGTTAGAATAAAAAACATTAAACCCGAAGTTAGCAACAATGAAGATAGCAATTTAATTTTTAAATATTAATACCAACCTTAATTTTTGATTTTTTTTTATTATATTTTTGTTTTTGTGACAAATATTAAGACATTTTATAAAAATTAAGAATATGTCAAAATGACATTGACATTTCAAACCGGAAGTTGCTTATATCTCGAGTAATATTGGAATTAAACGTATCATGTTTGGACTCATTTTAAAGGATTTTTCACGACGATTACAAATATGTCAAAATTGACGTTGACATTCTTAACCGGAAGTTGACCATAACTTCATTAATATTGAAGATAAATATGTCGTGTTTGTACTCATTTTAAAGGATTTTTAATGAAGATTACAAATATGTCAAAATTGAGGTTGACATTTTAAATCTGAAGTTAGTTATCATATAATAGAGAAATGGACAACTTCATGGTGTTCTTTCATGATGTATTCTTTATTCTATTTATCTCAAAAAACATAAAAGATAGAATAAAAACCATTAAACCCAAAGTTAGCCACAATGAAGATAGCAAATTAATTTTTAAATATTAATACCAACCTTAATTTTTGATTTTTTTTTATTGTATTTCTGTTTTTATAACAAATATTAAGATATTTTATAAACACAAACCGGAAGTTTAATATTGGAATTAAACGTATCATGTTTGGACTCATTTTAAAGGATTTTTCACGACGATTACAAATATGTCAAAATTGACGTTGACATTCTTAACCGGAAGTTGACCATAACTTCATTAATATTGAAGATAAATGTGTCGTGTTTGTACTTATTTTAAAGGATTTTTAATGAAGATTACAAATATGTCAAAATTGAGGTTGATATTTTAAACCTGAAGTTAGTTATCATATAATAGAAGTTTTATAACTGAAGTTAATCTAGTGTTAGTCACTTTTCCGCACTTTCTTTTTATTTTTAACGTGTTTTTTGTGTCATTTCACATTGATTAAAAAAATCGTCGATTTTTAAGCCACAGTTTCTTAATATTTCTTTTGTTAAAAAAGAGCGTCCTTAATTTCATTTTACAAGTTTTTAAACTTTACTTTTGTAAATTAGTAACTAATAATCTGATTTCGACTTTGATATGTGATCTTTTTTAACAAAATAGAAAAAAATTAAGAAACTTGTTTGTAAAATGGATCAGTATAGAGTCTCTGAGGATGGCCAAAGGCCGAAACTGGTTAGACTTAAATTCTATATAATCTAGTTTTAGTGATTAAATTTATGCAACGACTTACTTCTTGTGCTTTTATGCTTGTGATAGCTGCCATCAGTGTTCTGTGATAAAAATGGACATTCACCAAACAATTTTCATTTGTCGCTTAGTCAAGTGATGCATAACTTTATGATTTTATAAAGAAAATAAGTTCATTAGGAGTTCCCTTTGCGTGAAGTTTTAATTTAGTTATCAGGTTAATTTCTTAAACGTACTTTGAATCTTAATTACAGCTGAACCCCCAAAAGGATCTGGCAAACATAAACAACCGGAACTGCGTAATTAAAAACGAACTGTTGGTGTAGCACGAAGTTTTATTTTTATGTTAAAATTTACATCCTCTCTCTTGGCAAACTTAATTTATTCGGATCGCGTTAGGCGTATTTCGAACTTCTAGATGTTAAATTGATTCCTTGGAAGCGGTGGCTTTGTTCGTCGGCGTCGACCCATTACGGCGTCGCGTAAAACAATCATTTCCTTCGACGTTTCAAAGAAGTTCTTCAATAAGGAACGCAAACTTCCCCATTTCAGGCGACGTCACCTACATATTCATCAGTAGAACAAAATCAATTGAACCCAATATTTTTAAATTCGCCAAAAAAAAAATGTTTTTAAACTAAAAGTATTCAGAAAGTATTCACGTTATCGTTATCCTTTCTCTTCATCCCCTGGACGATTTTCGCCATTACGTTCGCTTCAAGGTAGGATTTGGCTTTTCAGAACCGCGCTCGGAGCCGGTAGTTAAATTCTATTGTTACTGCAGCACCAGAAAGCAAGAAAGAGGGATCATTGAAAACGCGACGGTTATGACGTGAATCGCAAGCCGTTACTGAAAAATTCCCTCCCAGTTTTCTTTGTCGATATAAACGACGACTTCTTTTCTAAATTATTATAAAAAAATTTGTTAAAACTTACTGGTCAGTTGAAACAGTTGAAGTTTCAAATCCCTTATCTCCGCAGTGAGTCTTTCCACCTCCTGGCGATTTTCCTCTTCCCGTTGCTGTTGGTAATTCTCTCCTTTTTCCTGTTCCGGGAGTTCCTGCTGCAGCTGCTGCTGCGTCGAACCTAAAACGCAAAACGAATAAAACGTTCTACATGAATTGAGACTGATTTATATCACGTAGTTATTCACACATCATTTTACCTTTAAGTTAAGGTATTAAAAAGAGATGATGTCAAGAAAGTTTTGTGAGTCGTTAAAATTTTCAACGTTAGTAATGGAACTCTATTTGCTTGTTGGAATACATCGTCGGGTTGGAAATCTGCAGGAGACACGTACGTTTGTTGGAAATCGGCCGAAGCGAAGGTAAATAAGGGCGTCATAGTAGCGGTAAGTTATTACAATATGCGACGACTCCCCGTTGCGTTTGACGCAGACATCTGCAATTTCCTGTGTGGTATTCCGAGCCAATTCGCAAATATTTGGTAACTCAGAATTACGTTACACCCGCAAAATTTACATAAAACTTCAAAATTCAAGTTAAAAATCTGTTTTTTATAATACCTAGATAGTCACGTTTATTACGATGCTACAATTTTTCAAACATTGCACGTGTAACGTGTCCTACGTGATTGACGCGAATTAAACCCCCCCTAGCAACCCCTGGAACGTTCTGGAACGATCGATCGCCGGATATTAAGTTATGCGACGACGACGACGTTTTCTGAACTGAAATCCGTCACGATGACCAAAAGAATCATTCGATATCTCAATTTATCACAAAAATTCAATTACTTTATATTACTAAAATACTTAAAGTTTATCGTTGGTATACATATACATATACTTAAGGGTGTAACGTCGTGACTACTTCATATTAATCAAAAGAGGGGGTCTGGCACCGTGCGAAACTGGTGAGATCAGACACGGTAGAAGGGCATTAACGCCGCAAACACACTGAAGAACACGAGTCCTGCGGTAATAGGATACCGGCGGCATTATGCCAGCGCGGCCTTATCGCTTTAAATATTTATGAGGAGTTTCCCAAGAATGTACTACCATCCATGTCGTTGGCATCGCGGTACAAACAACAATTTATCGATTTTTAACCTTCCACCTCGAACAAAAACTGTTGACGATCAAAAGTAATTTAAATTGTTTAAACTTAAACATTAAAGATTTTATTATTTCATTAAATTTTCAACGGATTTCTGTGAATTTTGATTGATTTTTAACTTTCCGCTACGAAGGAGAACTTTTACAATCAAGTTTTAATTCAAACCGGAATAATTCAACGATCTTAAAGGGTTAACTTTAAAGACTTCTCTTTAAGACTAATTTAGTCAACTCTACACTTAACATTAAAGTTTTATTGTTTCCTCAAACTTCACTTTGGAGATTATAATTTTTTTGTTGAATTTTTAATAAATTTGTAATACGGTATAATATAACGGACTAATACGGGGAAGGGAGTGTCCGTTATAACCAAATCATAGATTCATATCTTAATAACTAATTGAGATATCATCATGAACTGAGCCGCAATTTGAAGCTTATTTTGTTGGTATTTAATGTGTTAAAGATCATTTCTTCAAAACCTCAAAAATCAGAATTACGAGTTTTTGAACGCAACTCTGCAAATTTATAATCATAGATGTTAGATTAAAATTCATTAATCTTTAGAAATTCATATCTCAATAACTAATTGAGATATCATCATGAACTGAACAGCAATTTGAAGCATATTTAGTTACTTTTTAATGTATTAAAGGTCATTTCTTCAAAACTTTAAGTTCTATGTTTTATCAAATTAAAATAAAAAAAAATTCTTTTATTCCTCAATTATTTGGAAATAAAAATTGAAACTTTTCGAGGTTATTAAAGAATGTCTGGTGTTGGATTAACTAAAGTTTTAAGTTTCCCAGGTAAATAGTTCCCTTCATACTTTCAACATTATTAGATCTTTAATGAAAATGAATCTTTTTTCTCCGAAATTATTTGGAATATTTCTTTTTCATCATTATCAAATAGTTTAAGTATGTAATTTTGGTTTAAACGGGGTTTAAGTTGAACTGCGATTATTCGGGCAAAGGTTGCACCACGCCCGGATTGGTTTGCCAACTTTACGACGTTCCCAATTACCAACGTCTGGAAGCGAGTTCGAATTTTCGGGCAATATCTCTTTAACTATTCGGGGCGTGCATAATTCCGTGGAGGAACGCGTTCACGAACTAAACTTCGTCGCGTAAACGTCTTCCGGTACCTCGCCAAAACGCGAAATTATCCCTCGCTTACTCCCCGAACACGAAAACCGCTTAATTCATTTTAATACTTTGATAGAGTCTTGAAAGAAAAAACAAATTCCTTTACATCTAAGATATCCTTTTAGCTAACATTGAATCAATTTAATCACTTTGCAATTAAACGGTATGGAGGCATAAGTGTGGAGAAGCAATTTGCAGTAATAGCTAGATAACCCATGGTTCTCTTTGGAGGGTGTGTACTAGGTTTCTGTATCGCTATACCAAATCGAGCCGCAATCAACCCTTAGGCTATGTTAACTGTAACGATGCGGGGAGGGCTAAGATGAAAATTGAGATTGCGGATATGCGAGCGGAGCTCTCGTGTTTACAAGCCTGTTAACGAATTTTGATTGGTCGGGGGTTGTTATCTGGGCGAATTCTATGGCACGATGGTGGCTGTAAATTTCGGTTCCAACACCCCTCCCGCTAGCCCCCTTTCAACCGACTAATTACACCGTCGATCAAATCGAAACCACCAACACCACGAAAACGACTAACCAAACCCAAACTTTTTTTTAGCCAATTTATCGTAATCTTGATTTCATTGCATCCCACGTTAAACATTCCATTTTTTTGTGGTTATGAAATTGTAATTACCTTGCCATAAATCTCTTTTTGAAGTGGGCAATTTACAGATTAAATGGGGAATTTTCAAATAAAAATTAACGATTTTTTTTTTAAGATTTGATGATAGTTGACTGAGTAAGAGAAGCTTCGTGATACGTTCGTCGTATTTGTCGTTGTAATCCAACCTCAAAAGGCAAACACGGCGCTTCATTAGCCGTACACGAAACGGGGTATTGTTTCAGTCGACACCGGGATCCCCCTCTGAAATTAGTACCTTATCGATCACTCTATTGGCCATCCGTGAATTTGTCCTCCCAAACGATCGCTTTACGTTACACATGCTATAACAAGCTTTCGTTTAGTTTATAAAGCACCTTTCAGATGTTTTACGAAGTAAGATTTGACACATTTGCTTTCACCAACAATTAGTTAAATGATAGTAACATATTGAATGACACATTTGAGGATTTGAATACAATTCTGAGTAAGATATCATCATGAACTGAACAGCAATTTGAAGCATATTTAGTTAGCATTTAATGTGTTAAAGATCATTTCTTCGAAACTTCAAATTTCGGAATTACGATTTTTTGAATACAACTCTGCAAAGTTTTAATCATAGATTCATATCTCAATAACTAATTGAGGTATCATCATGAACTGAGCAGCGATTTAAAGCTTATTTAGTTAGCATTTAATGTGTTAAAAATCATTTCTTCAAAACTTCAAAAATCAGAATTACAAATTTTTGAACGCAACTATGCAAAGTTATAATCATAAATGTTAGATTAAAATTCATTAATCTTTAGAAATTCATATCTCAATAACTAATTGTGATATCATCATAAACTAAACAGCAATTTGAAGTATATTTAGTTAGCATTTAATGTGTTAAAGATCATTTCTTCAAAACTTCAAATTTCGGAATTACGATTTTTTGAATACAACTCTACAAAGTTTTAATCATTGATTCATATCTCAATAACTAATTGAGGTATCATCATGAACTGAGCAGCAATTTGAAGCTTATTTAGTTAGTATTTAATGTGTTAAAGGTCATTTCTTCAAAACTTCAAAAATCAGAATTACCAGTTTTTGAACGCAACTCTGCAAAGTTATAATCATAGATGTTAGATTAAAATTCATTAATCTTTAGAAATTCATATCTCAATAACTAATTGAGATATCATCGTAAACTAAACAGCAATTTGAAGCATATTTAGTTAGCATTTAATGTGTTAAAGATCATTTCTTCAAAACTTCAAATTTCGGAATTACGATTTTTTGAATACAACTCTGCAAAGTTTTAATCATAGATTCATATCTCAATAACTAATTGAGGTATCATCATGAACTGAGCAGCAATTTGAAGCTTATTTAGTTAGTATTTAATGTGTTAAAGATCATTTCTTCAAAACTTCAAATTTCGGAATTACGATTTTTTGAATACAACTCTGCAAAGTTTTAATCATAGATTCATATCTCAATAACTAATTGAGGTATCATCATGAACTGAGCAGCAATTTGAAGCTTATTTAGTTAGTATTTAATGTGTTAAAGATCATTTCTTCAAAACTTCAAAAATCAGAATTACCAGTTTTTGAACGCAACTCTGCAAAGTTATAATCATAGATGTTAGATTAAAATTCATTAATCTTTAGAAATTCATATCTCAATAACTAATTGAGATATCATCATAAACTAAACAGCAATTTGAAGCTTATTTAGTTAGCATTTAATGTGTTAAAGATCATCGAGGAAGCCGCAAAATTGCAATTAAATAGGGCACCGCGTCGAGGTGTCAAGGATGCGACGATCCTTGTAATTTGTTCCCTATCCATCCTTGACACCAAAAGGTTCAAGTTCTTTTACCTTTAAATAAATTCATACGAATAAGGAAAGTTTCGGAGAATTTATACGATATATATTGCCTTTATCAGTTTCGAAACATTCCCAGATTCAGATTCAGTGGGAAACTTTCATTGTTGAACTTGCTCAAGAACACGGAGGTATTGTTTAAATTATGCTCTTCGAATTATTTCACTTTTAAATTAAATTAAGAACTTTTCTTACCTGATCTATTTCATTTCTAGGCACCAACTAAAACTATTGACGTTTATTTACTTTAGATAGAAGATAAAAAGATTATAAAAAGAGATTAAAGTTTTTATCAAATTGAGTTAAAAATGAACAAATCTCCCATATTACTATCAAAATAACATCATTTAAGCTAAATGAATACTAAATACCCGGTTTAATAACCGGGAAATATCAATAATAACGGTGATACACCCTAAATTAGCTCTCTTTGTAAATTTATAATTGAATTACCTGGTCATATGTGAAACCATCACCGCGACACGACGCGGTGATATTTAATTATAAAAAAATATTTACTATTTCAATATAAACCAAATTAATTTTCAATTTCCTTTATTGTTTATTTCAATAAATTTTAATAAAACAGTATCGATACCCATATTAATAGTTAATAAGATTTGAGTTTAAATGAAGCTTCAACTGAGAAGTCACCATAGAAGCGTACAGCTTGAGATAGATATTTCCCATGTTCTCAAGGGAAATAAAGCCCAAAACTTTCCCTCCCTATACAGGGAACTTCGTCTCGGAACGTCGGATGTGTACGAATCCGGGCAACAGGGATATTACAATTTTCAATTTCCTCTTTCTCGTCGAAAAAAAATCACCTTTTTTGTTGCACCAAGTTAAAAATGCTTACCTGCTCGGTGTCCCTACATTCCTTTCGTTCATATCAGCCTGTTTCAATCCCAAACTCCTCCTACAAAAAAAAATAATAATAAAAAATCATATAAATAACACATCTTTGTATTCATACTAAGTATGAATAACACACGAAGATAAATCAAGGTTTATGTAGCTTAAATCCAAGCTGGAAGATATAAATTAAGGGTGCTGTGTTTTAATAAGGGCTCGTTTAAATTAAGCGGAAGATTCTTGAGCAATTAATAACCATCTCGTTTATTAACAACAAAACAAACCGATAAGATAAATTAATAAGATAAATTAATAAGACAAATTAATAAGACAAATTAATAAGACAAATTACGAAGATAAATTGATCGAATTTCCTCTCATTTATGAAATATCCCAATCGGTTTTGTATATAAACCACTCGAAACTCTCGCTCTAAATACAACCGTAGAGCTTTGTTTGGAAACTACACTACGAATTGTTCGTATTAATTATCTAGATTATGATTCAAAACCGATTGTTCGTATTATAATCGAATAGAACACGTAAATGATCATAAATCGTTGTATTAAAAGTGGAAAATTATGATTGACTTAGTACTATTTCGTTTGAAATCGTGTAAAATCAAGCGAACTCCTAGACGGTCCGACGCCTCCACCAAATTGCCGGAAGCACTCATGTAAATTACCGAACATTTTCTGCCAGACAACTTGAAAATGTTTCTTTTTATTCAACTTGTGGTTATATTATCATAAAATAGCTTTTTATATAAAGTGTTTTATATTTTTTCGTCAAGTTTTCATATAAAAATACACAAGTAGAATGGTGTGGTAGTAAATATTCCGGATCATAAACTGATCCTCAATACCGTACGAACGAGCATCGTCGTAAAAGTGGGACGAAGAATTTAATAAAAGGAAATAGAACGATCGATATCCCCCGTCAAATGGACCTGCACAAGACCATGACGCTGTGTCGCGACGTCGCATTCGCATGCAGGTCTTCATTTATACTTCATACACAAAATTATACAAAAATCTATATTTGTATACTTTCTGTATAACATGCATGAAATAACGGTTCAAATTTTATGTTCAACAAAATTTCAACGAGACTGATAAAATAAGACTCGAGAATTATCAAAACGCAAAAAAAATGTGGGATGATTATTTATGACAGTTAGGAAGTAATTTTGATATCAAATTAAAGCTAAAACATTCCTCTTTAAAATGATATATAAAACATGTTTAGTTGTATTATAAAAATTCTTAGATAAAAGAAGTTGAAATTTTATTACTTTTTATCTTAATCATGAAATATCAAAATGCAGCTTCAAACTTAAATAAACGTGGGATTGTTGTTTATGACAATTAGGAAGTAATTTTGATATCAAATTAAAGCTAAAACATTTCTCTTTAAAATGGTATATAAAACATTGTTAGTTGAATTATGAAAATTCTTAGATAAATGATGTTGAAATTTTATTACTTTTTATCTTAAACATGAAATATCAAAATGCAGCTTCAAACTTAAATAAACGTGGGATTGTTGTTTATGACAATTAGGAAGTAACTTTAATATCAAATTAAAGCTAAAACATCCCTCTTTAAAATGATATATAAAACATTATTAGTTAGATTATGAAAATTCTTAGATAAAAGAAGTCGAAATTTTATTACTTTTTATCTTAATGATGAAATATCAAAATGCAGCTTGAAACTTAAAAAAAAGTGGGATTGTTGTTTATGATAATTAAGAAGTAACTTTGATATCAAATTAAAGCTAAAACATTCCTCTTTAAAATGATATATAAAACATGTTTAGTTGTATTATAAAAATTCTTAGATAAAAGAAGTTGAATTTTAATTACTTTTTATCTTAATCATGAAATATCAAAATGCAGTTTCAAACTTAAAAAAACGTGGAATTGTTGTTTATGATAATTAAGAAGTAATTTTGATATCAAATTAAAGCTAAAGCATTCCTCTTTAAAATGATATATAAAACATTGTTAGTTGAATTATAAAAATTCTTAGATAAATGAAGTTGAAATTTAATAACGTTTTCGTCTGAACCTCAAAATGTCAAAATGCAGACTAAAACTTAAAAAAATGTGGAAGGAGTATTTATAAATATTAAGTTTTGAATTTAACATCAGATTAAAGCTAAAACATTCCTTTTTAATATAATATATAAAAGATGATTGGTTGAATTATCAAAATTTGTAGATAAAAGATGTTAAACTTTATTAGGTTAGTTATGGATAATTGTAGTGCCTCGGCCGCAAGCGACCTCGGTTTAATCACTCTAAAAAAAAATTTCCACTCAAAGCTTTGAAGATTTAAAAATATTTAGTTATCAAAATATGTTTTGTTTAATTTAGATGGCAAAACGACCTAGTCTTATCCAGGTGATGCCATTAATTACAGAGCATCTTGTTGTCGACCTTTTGGTTGCTAAGATATTAAATGTAGTATCTCGGCTTAATCACTTAAAATCATATATTCTCCACACTAAGCCTAGCCCAAATCGCTAACAACCTAACAATTACAAAATAGATCACAAGCTAAGAGAGCTTATTTTCGTTGAATTCTCCATCCTCGCTTATAACTATAAGCGAACCCTAATATTCATTTAACAATGCTATTATAAACTTTAGATTTTAAACAATAGGCTTTGGTCGGTAGTTCAGTTAATCGCTTATCCTACTTAACAGTTAAGGCGTGGACCCAAAGTGTTTATTTTGAGACGATAGAAGGTTTAAGCTTTCTCATTACGCGCAGCGTACAGGGAGAGTTTGGTCGGAGCTAACTTTCTTAATATCCGGTCAGTTCGAGTTGATTTCGACCTAAAGAGACGTGAAACGATCGACATAAAGGAAACCGTGGTGGTCGTGGACGAAGGCGAGGTTGAAGTCACGTAACCGAGTTTTCCGTCGGCTTTATCATTATGTAAATTGTTTTTCGGATTCAATCGTAGCGGCGACGTAAAATCTACTATTTCTATGCGGATTGGAATGGATTGTCCAATTCGACCGCCAAACCGAAAAACCGACGACTTATGCCTTCAGTGAAAAATCCCTAAAGAATACCCAGGTTTTCTCGACGGGATTTTCAATTCGCATTTAGTTGTAAATGGTTGAAGAACAATCATTACAAAAATTTTTGGTTCTTATTTTTTGAGACAAATCTCAAAATAATTCCATCAGGCTCAACATATATCATCTTGTAAAGATGTAATTAAATGTCAAAAATAAATTGAAAGAATTTACTAATTTTAATAAATATGAGTGTATGAAATTCTTGAAATACTTTGGAAGAAAATATGTAATAACTATTCGCTTTTATACCGCTTCTTTTAAATTTTAGATCAAAATCATTAGCATTTTCGATTCATAATTCATGAGGCTGCGGTAATAAAAGGGGGCGTCGTCGCGGGGTCGACGTACACGCGATGTTTCTTTGATGCAAAACCGATTCAACACGTGTCCGAAACCGTGCGCACGGGATCCCCCGAACCCCGCGAACTTTTTTGCATTTTTACGACGTTTCGTAAAACCAAATCGAGTCGGATCGGGTCTGGTTGTCAAAAATTCATCCTCGCGAATTAGACAGTCTCGTGTAAATGAGGTCGTAAATAATATAGGGATGCCACCGCCACCACCACCACTGACGCCAACCGAACGACAACGACGGGCGGCGCTAGGGAGAAAACGAGCCACCCCCACGTTGGCCAAACTGTTCCCATTCCAAAGTTGGTTACGAACTTGTCACCCGTAATCATTTCCGCCACTGCAAATTCTACTTTGATTAATTTAAATAGTTTCAGACGACGCGCGACGTAATGGTTAGTTTTGATCTATTAATTTATTTTTGAAATTAACAAATAATTAAGAGTATTTTTATGAAACTTGTGTTTTTGGCACAACTTTCTCGTTGTTACTTTGATTTAGGAATTTTAATGTCTAAATTATTTTATTGATTTGAAATAAATCAAAATATTCCGTGGAGTTAAGAGAGGTTCGGTAATCTAAACGTACCAGATCGTAAATCTAAAAGGGGTTATTTACGATCGTTTAGTCCAAGGGACGAACTAACTAGGTCCATAAAAATCGGTTTTACCCTTTGACACCGTGATGTATACACCTACAAATTTTTATACACGAAATTGTAAATACACTAAATGTAGGAAATTCTTCGGAGTCCTAAGGATCGTGGTAAACCACGCGCAGGGCGGCTTAATAGAGTACCCGAGAAGTACGGAAAGGCGCTGTCAGTTTGAAGGATTATTTCCCAACATGGAAATTTTTATTCTCGGCCGCGCGGCGACAAGATATATTTTAGCCGGGACCCAAGTTCGACCGTAAATCTTGAAGGGCCGTATTTCACGATTTTCCCCAATTTATCATAAAACGCTCCGGCATAATTTCCAATGCGTCTCGTGTGTTTCCGTTTCGCAAATTGTTTTCCCTTCGAACAAACCGTTCAAACTTGAAAGTTTTTCGACAGCTCCACTCCTTCAAAATATAGGTATAACGTATACAATGGAAATAATACTAAAGATAGAAGCGTGATAAAAACATATCATAAACTAGAATCTTTAAGCTTTATTTAACCTACATATCATATTAAAATTCTTAAAAATGCAGTTGATATGATTTTTTGAAAATTTCATATTATTTTTGATTAATAAAGTTAACAATTTCTTCTTTAATAATTTTTTCCTGGGAATAATAATAATATTATCTCATAATTTTTATATCATATCATAAACTAGGATCTTTAAGGTTCAATTTAACATACATATCATATTAAAATTATTAAAAACACAATTGATATGATTTTTTTGAAAATTATTTTTGATTTAAAATTTAACAACTTCTTCTTTAATAATGTTTTCCTGGAAATTTCAATAATATTATCTCATAATTTTTATATCATATCATAAACTAGGATCTTTAAGCTTCAGTTTAACATACATATCATATTAAAATTCTTAAAAATGCAGTTGATATTATTTTTTGAAACTTTCATATTATTTTTGATTTATAAATTTCACAATTTCTTCTTTAATAATGTTTTCCTGGAAATTTCAATAATATTATCTCATAATTTTTATATCATATCATAAACTAGGACNTATAAGCGTGATAAAAACATATCATAAACTAGAATCTTTAAGCTTTATTTAACCTACATATCATATCAAAATTCTTAAAAATACAGTCGATATAATTTTTTGAAATTTTATAAATTTAACAATTTCTTCGTTAATAATGTTTTTCTGGGAATTTCAATAATATTATCTAACAATTCTTATATCATATCATAAACTAGCATCTTTAAGCTTCAATTTGACATATATATCATATCTTGATTCTTAAAAATGCAGTTGATATGATTTTTTGAAAATTTCATATTATTTTTAATTTATAAAGTTAACAATTTCTTCTTTAATAATTTCTTCCTGGGAATTTCAATAATATTATCTCATAATTGTTATATCATATCATAAACTAGGATCTTTAAGCTTCAATTTAACATACATATCATATCTTGATTCTTAAAAATGCGGTTGATATGATTTTTTGAAAATTTCATATTATTTTTAATTTATAAAGTTAACAATTTCTTCTTTAATAATTTCTTCCTGGGAATTTCAATAATATTATCTCATAATTGTTATATCATATCATAAACTAGGATCTTTAAGCTTCAATTTAACATACATATCATATTAAAATTCTTAAAAATGCAGTTGATATGATTTTTTGAAAATTTCATCATTTTTGATTTATAAATGTTACAATTTCTTCTTTAATAATGTTTTCCTGGAAATTTCAATAATATTATCTTATAATTTTTATATCACATCATAAACTAGGATCTTTAAGCTTCAATTTAACAGACATATCATATTAAAATTCTTAAAAATGCAGTTGATATGATTTTTTGAAAATTTCATATTATTTTTGATTTATAAAGTTAACAATTTCCTCTTTAATAATTTTTTCCTGGGAATTTCAATAATATTATCTCATAATTTTTATATCATATCATAAACTAGGATCTTTAAGCTTCAATTTAACATACATATCATATTAAAATTCTTAAAAATGCAGTCGATATGATCTTTTGAAAATTTCGTTATTTTTGATTTATAAAGTTAACAATTTCTTCTTTAATAATGTTTTCCTGGAAGCTTCAATAATATTATCTTATAATTTTTATATCATATCATAAACTAGGATCTTTAAGCATCAATTTATCATAAATATCATATCTTGATTCTTAAAAATGCATTCGATATGATTTTTTGAAAATTTCGTTCTTTTTGATTTATAAAGTTAACAATTTCTTCTTTAATAATGTTTTCCTGCGAATTTCAATAATATTATCTTATAATTTTTATATCATATCATAAACTAGGATCTTTAAGCTTCAATTTAACATACATATCATATTAAAATTATTAAAAACACAATCGATATGATTTTTTTGTAAATTATTTTTGATTTATAAATTTGACTATTTCTTCAATTAATAATGTTTTTTGTGAAATTTCAATAATATTATCTTATAGTTTTTATATCTTATCATAAACTAGGATCTTTAAGCTTCAATTTAACATACATATCATATTAAAATTCTTAAAAATGCAGTTGATATGATTTTTTGAAAATTTCATATTATTTTTGATTTATAAAGTTAACAATTTCTTCTTTAATAATTTTTTCATGGAAATTTCAATAATATTATCTCATAATTTTTATATCATACCATAAACTAGGATCTTTAAGCTTCAATTTAACATACATATCATATTAAAATTATTAAAAACACAATCGATGTGATTTTAACAATATCGTCTTTAATATAATAATAATGTTTTTTGTGAAATTTCAATAATATTATCTTATAGTTTTTATATCTTATCATAAATTAGAATCTTTAACCTTGAATTCAACATACATATCATAACAAAACAGCCTTTCCGGAATTAATATTACCGATATAACGGTTTTTCTGAATTTCAAAATATTGTTTTATAAAATGATTTTTAGTTTTTTTTAAATTATAGAGATCTTTAGCATTGTATGTGTATACGTGGTGTAATTTATGTAATAGCACGAAAGTCTAGCGTGCTTTTATCCTTTATCCTGGGTTCCCTAACGCAAAAACCCTGACCTCAAAGGGTTTACGATAGACGATGTAGGGCGTCGTGTTTCAGATTTTACTTTAAGCTTGAAAGCTTAAAACCAAATAAAATATATAATACAATTTTCTTATTACTTACCGGAATGCTTTGGTAGCCACTGTGGTTAAATTTTTTTTACGACCCAGTTTTAAACTCGGCGTCGTTCATATTGAGATCTTTAAGCTTCAATTTAACATACATATCATATTAAAATTATTAAAAACACAATCGATGTGATTTTAACAATATCGTCTTTAATATAATAATAATGTTTTTTGTGAAATTTCAATAATATTATCTTATAGTTTTTATATCTTATCATAATCTAGGATCTTTAAGCTTCAATTTAACATACATATCATATTAAAATTATTAAAAACACAATCGATATGATTTTTTTGTAAATTATATTTGATTTATAAATTTGACTATTTCTTCAATTAATAATGTTTTTTGTGAAATTTCAATAATATTATCTTATAGTTTTTATATCTTATCATAAATCAGGATCTTTAAGCTTCAATTCAACACACAAAACATCCTTTCCGGTATTAATATTACCGATATAACGGTTTTACTGAATTTCAAAATATTGTTTTATAAAATGATTTTTAGTTTTTTTTAAATTATAGAGATCTTTAGCATTGTATGTGTATACGTGGTGTAATTTATGTAATAGCACGAAAGTCTAGCGTGCTTTTATCCTTTATCCTGGGTTCCCTAACGCAAAAACCCTGACCTCAAAGGGTTTACGATAGACGATGTAGGGCGTCGTGTTTCAGATTTTACTTTAAGCTTGAAAGCTTAAAACCAAATAAAATATATAATACAATTTTCTTATTACTTACCGGAATGCTTTGGTAGCCACTGTGGTTAAATTTTTTTTACGACCCAGTTTTAAACTCGGCGTCGTTCATATTGAAAAATCTGAAATAAATAACAAATTTATAACAAATCTATCGATATAATAAATTGAAAATGTTAATTGCTAGATGAGCTTGTTCCGAAAATCTGAACATTTTTCGAGTGGTCGATACAAATTTAATCGATTTCGGGGTTTTGTTTGTTTCCGTCTGTTTGGAGTTGTATTTTTTTTTTGGCCTCGTTAAAACTTAGCCTCTACCAAACACGAGCCAATTTTTAACGTGTATTTTTATTTTCTAGTTTTTTTTATGCTCACGTGTTTACTTTTTCCGGTTTTCAACCGAATGTCGCACCATGTTTTCCCTTCGACAAATTTATTTATTGCTTTGCATGGGAATCGATTTCACATAGACAAATCAGATCGCAACAAATCACAAAAAAAAATGAATTTAACGTTTTAAAAGATTTAAAGGGGTTTTGTGGAAATTGAACATCTTTTATAGAAAAGGCTGTATAAATTAAAAAAAAAGGATCATGAAAATAACGATTGGAGAAAAGCGATAACCTGGACGTTCCTGAGGGACATATCAATTTACTAACCGATTATTCGAGATCTCGGGGAAAAGAGAACCAGAAGCAGTTCTAATCTAAACACCAACCGTCGTAATAATAGCGGATTCGATCACGGTCTTATTGGTTCAGGGATGTTTTATAAAAGAAAAGTTGATTTCAATCTTGGATTTCTTTATTTTTTTTAGCTTTTATTGGATACGAGGGAAATGACAAAGCTAAAACAATAAAAATCGTTATATTTACAATAAAAAATGTTTTTTAATCTCCATCGAAAAAGGTTTTATTTACAAAATTGCAATAAAAACTCGCAAAATACCGTTAGTTATTATTATTGTTCAATAAATATCGGAATTTCATCGCTAAATAGTGATAAATAATAATATAACGAATTAAACCAAAAGAGAATTTATTAGATATGTTTTGAAGGTTTGTTACATTATAGTTGAGTTGCTCTAAGGTTTAATAAATGAACTTGGTGTTGAATTACTTTCTGGTTAAGTTCCATAGCTTATTTTCGAGTTTTGTTACCTTGCAGGTGAGTTGCTTTGGGATTGAGATGTGTTTACCGTCAAGATTGAACTGATTTCCTTTGTTATCTAAAAAAAGTTACCCAACCCAATAATAACTGGATTGAGTAACTGTTTGGTTGAGTACTTTCTTCTAATTTGGATCATCGGCAGTTCTTGCTCTGTCCACATTTTCTGGTTGCAACCCATATCAGCTCTGTGTTTAATGATTCGTTGCATAAAAATGATTAAAAACACATTATCTAACATTATTATCTTGTAAAGCTACTTTTATGCCGCAGAAAATAATTAAAACAACGTTTTATAAGATAAATTTGTCAAAATTTAAAGATTTGTATCTCAAGAACAAAATGAGATATGCCGATGAAATAAAAAGCATTTTAAAGGAAATTTAATCTAAATTAAACTTACTAAAGTTTATTTTTTAATTCCACTAAATCTTGATACCACGATTTTTTGAATTAATTTTTGCCTCAGTACCAAAAATCTCAAGAAATGTGTAAGATATCAAGATAAAAAACAAACTTTTATTAAAATGAAATTACCAGGTTGATGAGAGTTATAAATAAATTTCATTAATTTTTAAGATATATCCTACAAGGACATTTTACAAATAAAACAAGAACTTCTGGAAACTATTTTAATAATAACTGTTTTAACGACTAATTAAAATAGTGTTGCAACCTCTTCAAAAACAAGTTCAAACGTCTATTTAATTACAAAGTGACGGTCGTAAATGTTTTCAAGTTTATATTACATTATACTTTAGTTGTTTATACTCCAGTAATGTGGTAGTGAAGGAAAAGAGCAAGAGGCGAATTTGTAATAAAAGTCTAATAAAAATAAAAATAAATAAAGAACCAATTCAAAAAAAAACTCTGTTATATCTCTATAACACAGATTTTATTGTTTAAATTATTTATATTAAAAAAATATTATGGTTTCAATTTAAAGTTAACGACGCTTTTAAAAAATGCTTCAAATAATACTTATTCAGAATTGGACGTAGAACAATTTTTGTTAATAACATTTTTCAAAATATCCGCTAGGTTTCGCTGTATACTCGTATCAAAAACCAGTTTTTTTAAGGTTATGTTCTTAATTATTGTTTGTATCAAAGAATGTTTCAAATAATACTTATTTAAAATTGGACGGAGAACAATTTTTGGTAATAAAATTTTTTAAACATTCACTAGGTGTCGCTGTGTACTGGTACACCGACGCTTTTAAAATTGATTTTCAAATCGGTTCTTGCGGGGGTTTTTCAATTATACAAATCGCCATCACCACGCCGACGGTTTAATTTCGATTTTTATCCCCGCAACTTTTCAATAAAAGAAGGAATCTTTTGTACCCTGTCAAAGGTTTCCAATTTTAATTCTACCTTAAAGAAACTCGCCTTTCCCGTTGCGTTTTTACGATGAGATTACATGAAATATTTCAATGGGAAAAATTAGTGATTTAAATTTCAACTTTTTTTTTAAAGCTCCTAGAAAAAGTGGTAGTAATTTAATTGCATTTTTGAAGTGCTCATCCCGGATTACTACTCACTTTAATTAAACCATCAGATAAATTCAATTTGGGGCGAAAAATTTCCAACGGAAGCTTTAATTGGACGTTGACCGTTCTTCAAGTTCGAAATACCACTGACCTTTTGATATAAAAGCATAATTAAGATGATGGACCGTCCGAAGTAATTGAAGCGTATTTTCCTGCTTAACTTTAAGCAAGAAAATACGCTTCAGCTTATAGAGTGAGTAAAACTCAACTTTACCTTTGTAACTATTTGTAAACTGTTTTAAAGGTGTCCTTAAATTGAACTTAATCTCGTTTTAATTCAGACATCTTTTGGTTTTAACTAAAATCATCCCTTACTGGACTTGGCAGGTCAATTATTCGCAAACATGCTTAAACAGGTCGAGTCCTTTAAACTAAACAAAATCAAACGGGTTGTACACGTGCGGTTTAGCGAATAGCCCCGGGGGTGGCACGCTAAAATTTGCATTAAACTCCGCAAAGTTGCCGTTAGCCTCTTCAAAGTCCACGCTGCGCCACCGCCGACTTCACCCTTGGGGCACAAATTTAATTTCGCCGATCGGTTTAAGGCTACGAATTCGCGGCGTAAAACAAACTTAATTTCATGCAACATTGGCTACGACCACCAACCACCGACAAACGCCAACCCCCCGGAAAATGCAAACGTCAGTTTCGGTTTGGCAAATAATAGAAATGAAACGAGTCGAATCGAATCGAATATCGTGTACTTGAAAAACTTTAATGACGAACACTTTGTTTTAATAATTATTTCATTTAGCGTTGTAATAAAAAAATGCATAGAATCCTGGTAAAGTTGGTGGGAGACCGGAAAAAAGATGAAAAAGGGTTAGGATTCGTTATTCATGGTGCGACGCCGGAGGGCAAAGGGTAAAAAGAGGATTTGCATATCTTGTCACTTGATATGGAGGGACACGTTCCTGCGAAATGTGCGCGCATTATGAAAAAAGAGGAGAAGAAAAAAAAGACCCTCATTTTACTGTACACGTCTGTACCTGAAATTCTTCTTTTACAACCTTTTACTGCACATATTTCTTTTGCGGTAATAAAAAGGAAAGACCATAATCAACTTACTTCCTTTTAAACTAACGATAGAAATTTATTATGTTTTCTCTTATCACTGCGTACCATATCATATTTACTTACGATAAATATTACAACACTTATCAGCATTATTACATCAACTCGTTCGGGTCGTTCAACGCCATCAATCGAGGAAGATTTCTTTGTTGATAACTAAATTAATCCTTTCAATCTCTCAAGCAACCACAATTAAGCCTTCTCGATATACAGCTCTTATATTCCAAGATCAATCTTTTTAATGGACAAAATGTTGTGAGAACTAGTTTTTGCTAGTGTATACATCGATGATGTTATTTATCAGCCCGACTTTGGAAAAGGAGAACATGGAGCATCTCAAAGCTACCAAAATCCCTTTAATTACTATTAATAGGATATCATCAAGGTTTTTTTGATAGGCTTTATCGGAGGCAGAACGATCTATGGCAGAGAAATTGAAATGAAATACTATTAGAGTCGAGAATCCAAAGAAATGACAAAAGCCAGACAAATACACACCGCGCCAAGACTCAAGAAGATTGTGATAGAATTTTAAAGAGCTAAAAAAATTAATTAATTAAAACTTTTTCCCTATTCATTTAATA